GGGGGGGGGGGGGTGGACCACGCCCCCATGTGCCCCACCCCTCTTGTATGATGAAATGGAAGGAATACTCGCGCGCTTGGCTGCGCTTATAATTCTCAGTATTCTCGAACCCCTTTTCATATCAAAAGAGCCATTTTGAATGTTTTGCGTCATGTTTTTCATATTGCTAAATGTTTTTTGAATATTTGAACTTTGCACAAGGAGTTAGAAAAACGAATTGACAAATGTCCATTAATTGGTTTCTGCATTTTCATTTATGCTTAAAATGACGTCTACAAAAATCCCCCTCTTCTTTAAATGTACATGTTAACCTTTATGTTCAATGATAAGGAGTCTGTACAATTCCCCTGTACAAACTGTCCATCAGCATTCTATACTCTACCCTTTCTCCGTGTATATAGCAAAATATTCGTAAACTATCTGTATATAGCAAAATATTCGTAAACTACCTGTATATAGCAAAATATTCGTAAACTACCTGTATATAGCAGAATATTCGTAAACTACCTGTATATAGCAAAATAAAGAATTCTTTACATCATGATGTCCATGCACTTAATAAAGGGACTGTTGTTGTAAGTTCAAGTCACCCTTTAATGAAAGATGGACAGTTGCCCGAGGAAGTTACGTGCACTTGCCGCGTTGAATTACAAGAAGAGAGAGATTAGTATATATTTTAGGGTTAGGCTGGGTTAAGACACTTTTTGGGCCGAGTGCTGCAGCTAGGACAGGCTAGGGGGCCAAGGACCGCGGCAAGGACAGGAAATGGGGGCCGAGCGCTGCAGCTAGAGCCGGCTCTCTCTCTGTCTTATAACTCAACGTGGCATGCACACATAACTTTCTTGGGCTGCAGCCTGAAAGAGGACCATAGCAGATTCTTAACGGTGCCCTTTACACCCGTATCTGTTTCAACAATGGAAAAGATATCATCGTTTTGCTAGATTAAAAAGTTCTTGCAGTTTTCTCCATGGTTTATGTTGGAAGAAATTCGCGAGCCAATCATTAAAGAATTTACAATTGCAGTAAATTATTTTAAAATTTTTTGGATATATCAGGTATTATCAATCGGACAAAGATTTTAAGAACACCATTGTGAATCGGATGTCACTCTAAAAAAAGGGCTATCTTTAATATTGGATATATATATACAGTAATATAGAAGGATACTGATAAATAGTTCGATATACAGTGTGAGAAATAAATAAATAAATTAGTAGCGGGTAGGATAGATAGATAGATAGATAGATAGATAGATAGAGCGAGGAAGATATAGTTTTGTTGCAGGCAGTAGTGCTTGGTTTCTCCTGGTTTATACCTGTAGTTTCAGGCAAACTGCACACCTATGAAGTTCTATAGATTATATACCTTACTGCACTATAATAGGCAATTTGAGTTTATCAAGGTTTGGAAAACAAAGGAGGCGAGGGGGAGGGGCAAACTCGATTTAAGAAAATTAGGAAAGTTGTACTTAAAAAAATGGCACGCAGTGAGAGAGAGGATACAATAATTGACCCCCACCTTCCCTTCTTTTGTAGTTGCACTTTATACCGGGCCAATAAATATAGAAACATACTATATCTAAATAAGGTAGTTTATAGTGTTCCAGCAAATGTGCACGGGGGAATTTAGAACCCGGGGTTGGGGGTCTGTGGTTAAATAACCTGAGGAGGGGGAAATGTACGCCCCCCCCCCATAGCTACGCCTATGGCACTTTACACCTAGAACTTTAGTAATTTATCTTGACAAATTGTGAATTGGAATTTAAAAGACTTCAATGCATAATAGAGAAGTATCGTTTAGTTTATATTTTCCCTAGTTGATTTATTATTATTGACACTCTTTGACCGCTGCATGTTGTTTATAAAGAAAATATGTTTTCTTGGTTCTAAAATAATTTATTGGATGTTTCATCTTATCAATTCTGTTAGATCAAGTTGTTAAATTTAGTTTCAAACATTACAAACAACAAACTGAAAACATTACAAATTTTGGAGAAAATTTCAATTCTTTTATTGTTCAATCTGTTTAAGTAAAATGAATATTTTTACTCTCCTCCTCTCGATCATCTTCTTATCTTTTTCTTTTTAATCGTATTCGAAACTTTCTTTTTTTCCCATGTGTCTTGAAAACTCCCAAAGTTTACCCTTTGACCCTACCTCCCTCCCCCCCTCCCAGCAACTGTAAAATTTATTTTGAGTCATTCAACCCTGGGTTCTATGGGGAGGGGGGGGGGGGCAGTATATAGAAGCAGGTAGAGCTCTAGATCAGAGACTTTAACGAGTGAAAGCGTTGCAGAAACATTTTATATCAGATAGACGAGTTTTCTAATAAATGCACAATACATTACTTAAAGGGAGTGTTCACTTATTTGAAAATATACATGATACTCCAATTTACTTATGGAAAATCTAATCCCTTTAAGATGTCTCTCCGTGCCTGAAAGAGCGATAATTTAAAAGGATAAAATCGGGGTTTTTTTCGTTATAAATATTCATACTCCGAAGTGAAATCGATATTCTTGTATTTTTCCCTGGATTCTTTGTAGTTTAACTCGTGTTTGAATTGTAAACTCAATTTTTCTAATACATCATGATGGTTCGGCAAAATTTCAATTCCTTCCCAGTTTTTCGGGATGGTTTTTGATTTCTAGATAGAAAAATTATGTCTTTATTAATCATATTGAGAGGCATGCCTGATTCACAACGATAGCGTTCATACCTTATTCTAATCAATTATTGTACAAATAACGTTGTTTTACCATTGGTAATGTCTCCATTGATTCTGAAGCAAGATTCGCGCAAGTTACTTTTGCAGAGAACCCATAAATGAAAATTAGCAGGTTTTAAGAACAAAAACATGGATATGTAATTCATGATTGATTGGACAAAGCTTTGGGGACATCCCACTCAATGAGAGGTCTTTTAAAATTACGTTTCCAGTCACTTTACAGGATACAGATTGTGAACCATTGATGGTGGTCCTTTTATTCAATGATTACTGCAAATGTATTCGTCGAATTCGGAGTTGGCCTAAATATTTCATTTCCCTTTTCCCTCCATTAAACTTAATGTGGGAGTTTGTTATGATTTACTTAAATTAGATATAAATTGTATATCTGACACCAAAATATTTTGTAATTTTGCCATTTTCACGTTAACCCAGAGTATAGACAATTATAGAAAAGGTTTCCTTATTTATATTATTCAAAGGGACTGTAAAGGTAAAATGAAAGGGGGTGTAGGATAAAACCTGAGAACCTCAGGCATTGAACGATACATATAAGACATCTATCTGATATTCCTGTTTCGAGAAATTGATATAAAACTGTGTCAAAATTATACCAAAATATATTTATATGAAATTTTTTATAAAAGTAGTAGGTTTAAAATTTGTTTGGTCTACTTTCAGAAAAATGCATTTCTTTCTCTAGCTTGAATTTTAAAACTGGAATTGGAAGGACCTGTAGCAAACAAACACACATAAAGATTTCAGATCTAACCTCCTGGTTTTACAGTTTCAAAGCTCAAATCTAAATTTGAAGAATGCAAATTTATGTTTCTGCAAACTTCAGTCTAGACGCAAACTAAAGAAGAAGCAGAAGTGATATTAAATAAAAATATTGTGAAAAATAAATTTAAAAAAACTTATTTTTAAAATTGTGAGTTGTAATAAATTTTGGAAAATGGTGACTTTTCAGCGAATGAGAGAGGATTTTGACGATTTATCAAATCAGGTAATTTTTTATAACTTTTTTTAAATCTTTTGATTTTTTAAATTTTCTAAATTTTTCTATTTACAATTTTCTTAAAATATTTATTTGGTCCAACACAGCAAGAAAGTACGTTAAATAAAAATTCAAAAAAACTTTTCATTGTTATTTAATAGATCTTTATGTGAAGTACATTTTTTGGTAAATTGTCCAAGACTTGAAAGTGAAGAGTGAAGAAATTCCATTTTAATGTTCCTCTAAATTTCATGAAAACCTTTCTCAACGGACTTCAATCGTGCAACAGGAAGGCAATATTTGCAGACAGAAACGCGAACACTCCCTTTAACTTTTAAGTCATATTTAACTGTTGTAAGGATTAATAATTAATTAGGTGAGCGCGAAGGTTCCTGGCCGTCCTGTTTTCTGGTTGATTATATCCGTTTCACTAGTTCTTATTCTTCTTATAGGATTCGGGATAGGGTTCGGGTCCAGGGCAGGTACTACCATTATTATTCCCATAATCAAAAAAGTATTAATATATGGATATATACTGTTGTTGGAAGTATTATTACATTATTATTATCTAGGAGGATATTGTAGTGGTGCTGCAGGGTGTAGTGAAGGATCTCTACCTGTTTATTATTTTTTATCAAATAAAAGTGAGAGCTGCCCCGCCCTATATGGGGAACGCCTCTTGACAACCCTGGCAGAGGGAAACAGCTTTGAAGGATTAAGGAAGGGATCAATAATTTCGTCAAGAATTATTATTTTCATTTTTCTGTTATTTAGGAATTAAAATCTTAAACTTACTTGAAGGAATTTTCAGCAACGATATGTGAAAGAGGTCGCCAATATTTTTCTATAAATTTTCTCAATTTTATTTCTTTGTCTTTGCTTAAATCTGCAAAATGAATTTACAGAGTACCTCAAATAAAAATGATATCCGTAAGCTGGTATTTGTGTCCAAATTATGCTGGCAAATGGAATCCCGATAAAGGCCAAGGCTAGTCACCGTAATAATTCATGTAACAATTTAACAAATAATAACTTTTTTAATTTACTTAACCTGTTTCTAAACAACAAATTAAATAGCGGTAAATTTTTTACAATTTTTTCATCCGGGTTATTAAATAATAATGAATTTTTTTTCATCTACTGACTGAAGCAAAATATTACAAAAGACTATTCGCTTTAATTTAAAAATTGTACACCGTAAAAAAATATTTCATTGGTATTAAATGAATCCTCAAAATTTGCTCTATAATACTGCATTCAGCCGGTCACTCCAGTTCAGGCAGTTTTTATAATGATTCCCCACTATTGCAGTGTAAATCTGCAATGTTCTGGGGATTATGTACCCTTCCCTCTACAAGTAAGTAAAATTATAACATTTGAAATAATTTAGGAAACATTGTGTTATTTATTTGGTGTTAACAGATTCATGATAGAACGATGATTTTCCCCCGGATTGGCTGAATTATGCTACATAATACAAATTATGTAAATTTTATTAAAATCTTATTTTTGTATTTTCTTTAAATTGTTTAGGTTAAATGTATGAGGCGTCAGATAATGAATGGAGAAAGTGTATTGGAGTGGAGCGGACTACCTGTCTGCTATCCAGCTATGCTGGTCACCCCGCTCCATTGGAGCAAGATCAAGCATGCTAGGTTAGTATTTTACTACATTGGAGCAAGATCAAGCATGCTAGGTTAGTATTTTACTCAAAGAGAATAGAATATATATTAGAGTGGAATTTACTAGAAAAAAAGTGTAAAACGGCCATTTTGTTGTACTGTTTCCATACTACAGGTGTACTTCACATATTTGCGCTATATAACCTTTTGGGCCCTGGAATATATTTTTATAAAAAATCTAAAATTAATATTAAAAGAAAACCAAATTATGAAATAGGCTGGTTTCATCATTGACCAATGATCATTTCAAATAGGCTCTATGCCTTTCACTTTACAAACGATGATTTTCCGTTGTAACTATTAATCAAATGATGTTTTTCCTTCACCTAATTCATTTTATAAAGTTTATTTAACAGCTTTAAAGAAAATCTAAATTGAAATGGACAGTCAAGGGAACATACTGTATTAATGTACTCTACTGCATATAATTTGTGCAAATTTACATGATTTGTACACTTTGAACTCCCTTTCAGGCTGAAAGGGACTGAAAAAATTCATACCGAGGGATTGTCTAAATTCCATTCTAATAAATATTCTATTCTCTAAGATTTTACTACACTGGAGCAAGATCAAGCATGCAAGGTTAGTATTTTAAAACATGCATTGGTGTATTTTTTGTATTTTTTCAAAGTGTGATTATCCAACTAATTGTTTTTTGACAGAACTAGAATGAACTCGATGAGCTTGTGCGTCCTTAGTAACATCTGTTATCCGTAAAATTAGAAAATACTAGAAAAATTGGCTTTAATGCTTGTACTTAGAAGTATAAACAATCTCTCTAATAAAAAAGGCTTACTTGAATATGCTGGATAATGAAATGACAAATATGTAAATCGTAAATTTTGCCGAGTTTCACAGAAACAATTTTAGTTGCATACGTGGCCCAATTCTTGGATAGAATAGTTCCGAGAGTGAGACATTCTTTAAGCATTAAGATTTAACTTTAAGCATTAAGATTTAACTTTAAGCATTAAGATTTAACTTTAAGCATTAAGATTTAACTTTAAGCATTAAGATTTAACTTTAAGCATTAAGATTTAACTTTAAGCATTAAGATTTAACTTTAAGCATTAAGATTTAACTTTAAGCATTAAGATTTAACTTTAAGCATTAAGATTTAACTTTAAGCATTAAGATTTAACTTTAAGCATTAAGATTTAACTTGCAAATCGAAAAATTCAAGACTTTATTTCTAAATAAAATTAATTATTTTTAAATAGACTTAATTGTTTAATGTTTAGATCAGTTTCTTGTGTTGGAAACTCCCAGGAAACAGTCTGTTCCCTGCAATGTGTTCAGGTAAGGATCATTAAACTAAAAGATAGAAAGTTATTAGGAAGTTAATGTTAAAGAAGGTGGAAAATCTTTCCAATGCAAATACTAAGTATTGACTCAGTGCTACATTAACATTAACATTAAGTATTGACTCAGTACTACATTAACATTAACATTAAGTATTGACTCAGTACTACATTAACATTAACATTAAGTATTGACTCACTACTACATTAACGTTAACATTAAGTATTGACGCAGTACTACATAAACAATAAGTATTGACTCAGTACTACATTAACATTAACATTAATTATTGACGCAGTACTACATTAACATTAACATTAAGTATTGACTCAGTACTACATTAACATTAACATTAAGTATTGACGCAGTACTACATTAACATAACATTAACAATAAGTACACCAAAATCATCCAGTATAGCACTTCGGTTATCATCCATATTTATACTTTAAGTTTAAAATGGAAACTGTTTCCAACTTCTTTAGCACAGATTGTTGAATCTTTAAATTTCAATGTTTATTTAATATTTAGGACTATATAGCAGTAGAGCAGAGTAAACATATGTGCCAGGACATTCCGTGCCGGGCCTGGACTCCTGAAGGCCGGCAGTGCTACTTCTGTGACCAGGAACCAAATTTAATTAATTGGAAAGGTCCTTAAACTACATACAGCTGGTTCAAATCCTGAATCACTCATTAAAATATTTATGAATCTTTAAATTTGAATCAATGATTCATGATTTGAACCAGTAGTAGTTAGTTCAGCTACCTCTTCCATTAATTAAATTTGGTCCCAGAACTGTACCGAGCTAGCTGAAGCCAAGGATCCCAAACCTAGTGATTTACTGAGGAAGCTATCCTGTGATGAGGATTGTGAACAGGTATATCACACGCCATTATTCATTTAGAGGGACTCTTCATCTATTTCAGACTAAAAACATTTTTTCATCTGAAGGACTGTACCGACTTTAAGGCAGCTAGTGCAGATTGTACAGTATAATACTTTAAAGACTGTACAGACTGCCAAACGTGACAAACGTGACGTGACAACAGACCAACCAAATGAATCGTCCGATTAACGTGTTTCGCATAATCCTAAAAATAGGTCATAGAAGGACTTTTTTCTTTTTAGATAGTTGTGAGTTCTGATGGAATGGCAGCTGTCTGGCAGAATAAGAGAACCGGAATATTCCGGTTTATCGGGGAGCACAACGGTAGACCGGTTTATCAAAACAATGCAACCAAGGAGTATCTTTACTACACTTTTACAGGTGCAAATATTTATTTTTTAATTAAATGCAATTAAATCAATAAAATAAAATGTAAAATTAGTAAAATTAAGTTCTTAAATGTTTACTAATGGAATTTTGATGTTTATTTAAATTTTAATTGATGTCATTTTTTGTTTTCCTCTGTTTTTGTACTATAAATTACCGTTGATTTTTCATCTCTAAGAAAGTGTTAACCCTCATAATAAACCATTTATCTAAGAAATATTGGAGATGATATCTTTGTTTTTCTATCAATTCTTACAAAATTATGTAGTTTCTTAGCAAAGGTTTTAAAGGGATTTTTATTTTTTATATTCTGTAGATTTAGTTACTTTAAAATTTGTTAACAGTCCCTTTAGACTCAAAAGAATTGCAGTACACTTGCCTCGAAATGAATTTTCTAATCCTTGTATTCTAAACAACTTGATATTTTAAGCTTTAACAATTTGAAACAAAAGAATTTATAGTTTTAAATATCAAAGACGTATGACAACAGGGTTGCAAATGTACATATATATTTAAATATCCCACTCAATTTTTAATAAATTTATAAGTTTTGGAAAACAATAGAATAAACATTTTCCCAAAAGTTTTTCCAAAAATCCGAACAAAACAAAAATTTTGAAAATGTTATCCAAAACATTAACTATTCCGGTGTTTTTTACTCACCCTGCATATATTTTAGGGGCAGAATGGTTGGTTGGACCAGACTTCAGGAAACCCCATGCAGGTGGGATAGACAAAAAATTTTAAAGAATAAAAAAATTATGTATTGCAGTTTAATTCTTATTTCATACAAATATTTAAACAAACTCAATGAAAGTTAAATTCTAAATTACAATTCCAGTGTGAGAAAATTTATATTTCTATCTACAAAAGAACAGAAACATCTAATTTTGTCATCATTTAAAATTGATAACAAAAATGTTGTTAGTTTTTGTATATTTCATAATTACAATACAGCAACCTTTTTCAGAATCTCTGTCCAAAAATCAATTTATATGTCATTGACTTAATTTCCCTGAGAAGGGTTGCAGTAACATATATTTAGGTTTTCTAGTAGTTCACAAGTCACATTACCTCATAAGGAAATGTTAAAGCTGATCTAAATTTAAAAATATTGCTTTCGTCAAAAAATTTTTTTTTTGTATCTAGGTATCCAAGTATTCCAGAGCCATGATAAAACCATGTTTATATCTAGGTATCCAAGTATTCCAGAACATGATAAAACCATTTTTGTATCTAGGTATCCAAGTATTCCAGAACCTGATAAAACCATGTTTATATCTAGGTATCCAAGTATTCTAGAACGATGATAAAACCATGTTCGTATCTAGGTATCCAAGTATTCCAAAACCATGATAAAACCATGTTTGTATCTAGGTATCCAAGTATTCCAGAACCATGATAAAACCATGTTTATATCTAGGTATCCACGTATTCCAGAACATGATAAAACCATGTTTATATCTAGGTATCCAAGTATTCCAGAACATGATGAAACCATGTTTGTATCTAGGTATCCAAGTATTCCAGAACGATGATAAAACCATGTTTGTATCTAGGTATTCAAGTATTCCAGAACCATGATAAAACCATGTTTGTATCTAGGTATCCAAGTATTCCAGAACGATGATAAAACCATGTCTGTATCTAGGTATTCAAGTATTTCAGAACGATGATAAAACCATGTTTGTATCTAGGTATCCAAGTGTTCCAGAACAATGATAAAACCATGTTTATATCTAGGTATCCAATTCCAGAACGATGATAAAACCATGTTTATATCTAGGTATCCAAGTATTCCAGAACATGATAAAACCATGTTTGTATCTAGGTATTTAAGTATTCCAGAACGATGATAAAATCATGTTTGTATCTAGGTATCCAAGTATTCCAAAACCATGATAAAACCATGTTTGTATCTAGGTATTCATGCATTCCAGAACCATGATAAAACCATGTTTATATCTAGGTATCCAAGTATTCCAGAACGATGATAAAACCATGTTTGTATCTAGGTATCCAAGTATTCAAGAACCATGATAAAACCATGTTTATATCTAGGTATCCAAGTAAAGTATTCCAGAACCTGATAAAACCATGTTTGTATCTAGGTATCCAAGTATTCCAGAACATGATAATACCATGTTTGTATCTAGGTATCCAAGTATTCCAGAACCTGATAAAACCATGTTTATATCTAGGTATCCAAGTATTCCAGAACATGATAAAACCATGTTTGTATCTAGGTATTCAAGTATTCCAGAACCTGATAAAACCATGTTTATATCTAGGTATCCAAGTATTCCAGAACCATGATAAAACCATGTTTGTATCTAGGTATCCAAGTATTCCAGAACGATGATAAAACCTGCCCAGAGCGCCATGGTGGAGATAACATTACTAAACTGTACATAGATTCCAGCAAACCAGTCCCACTAGGTATTTATATACTTGGTATTTAATTATCACAAAAATGTCAAAAAGTAAATCTTTTTTATTTAACAATTATCTTTCCAGGGGACAGTATGTGGCAAAATGATACAACAATATCTTTTCAGTGTTACAAACCAAACTTTTTAAAGGTAACATTTTAAATTTTGTTGATTTTCTGGTTCTAACGGAAAATTTGGCCTTTTATCAGAAATCCATAAGTTCAAATCAAATCAAATTTTAATAAGGCTAAAAGAGATTTTTTTGCAGAAAATGCTAAATTTTTCATGAATTATGTGCGTATTTTGGCGTTAAAGATTGAAGATAATCTGATATGGGACGCTCTGTAAATGCCAAACTTCTTAAGGTTTGGATCAACGAGGTTATAGAATACAGAGTGATGATGCACGCTAATCCTTTACTAATTGTACAGGCCATGTACTCCACTTTTAAAGGTCAATCTGTATATTGCAGTACTCGGGGTGATTTCTGAAAATATTTATCTTTATTTAAGCAGAAATAGGTGTTCAACCAAAAAAAATCAATAAAACTGTAGACGTACATAATTTTAACTTTTCCGTTAAATAGAAGGAACGAGATAATTTTCTTTTTGAAAGTAGATTATTTTGATTGTATTTCTTTGGAAAGTGACTTGCGGAGTTTGCTAATGAAACAATGGAGAAAATTATCAGAATTCAGCATTGTTCCATAACTTTTTACTATAAGGACTTCTATAGCATTTTTTATTGAAATGTCGATTGCGTATCCTGTTAGGAGAATTTGTTTTTCCATTTGACTATTGCAATCCACTGTTCTTTTATCGTTTGTAGGATTACATTTTCACAGAAAGAAGTACTATTGCATTCTTTTAAAAAAGTACACTACAAATGTACAAGTGTACAGATTACAAAGTGTACAACACATTTACAGAGTACAAGGTGTACAACATATATACTGTTTAGACAACAAGCTGTAAGTTTAAAGGGTACCAAGTGTAAAACACATGTACTATTTAGACAACAAACTGTAAGTGCACAGAGTACAAGGTGTACAACACCGTGTATGAGACGGGTATGGAGGTTCCTACCCAAGTTGATTACTTCAGCGGAATATACAGGTAAATACAGTGGTATCCAATATACAGGTAAATACAGTAGTATCCAATATACAGGTAAATACAGTAGTATCCAATATATAGGTAAATACAGTGGTATCCAATATACAGGTAAATACAGTGGTATCCAATATACAGGTTAATGCAGTGGTATCCAATATACAGGTAAATACAGTAGTATCCAATATACAGGTAAATACAGTGGTATCCAATATACAGGTTAATGCAGTGGTATCCAACATACAGGTAAATACAGTGGTATCCAATATACAGGTAAATACAGTGGTATCCATTATACAGGTAAATACAGTGGTATCCAATATACAGGTAAATACAGTGGTATCCAATATACAGGTAAATACAGTAGTATCCAATATACAGGTAAATACAGTGGTATCCAATATACAGGTAAATACAGTGGTATCCAATATACAGGTAAATACAGTAGTATCTATTATACAGGTAAATACAGTAGTATCCATTATACAGGTAAATACAGTGGTATCCAATATACAGGTAAATACAGTGGTATCCAATATACAGGTAAATACAGTGGTATCCAATATATAGGTAAATACAGTAGTATCCAATATACAGGTAAATACAATGTAAATAACAACGATGGTCGTCTCTGCACTTGAAAAAAAATCAAACTGTCATTAAAAATTTTAGATTAAACTGCCGTTCAGAATGTTGTAAATATTTAAATCTCTAAAACTTTTAATTTCCCAGTTAAAACTTACAAGATTCCTGAAGGCATTCTAATTAAAGAAAAGGACAGAGCAGACAATCACTTTTCACTACGCTTTATTTTGGACATAATCGTATTTTTTATTTTCATCCAAATAATTTTAATCATATAAAATTCTAAATAAAAAAACATGCTGGAAATAAATATACTAATTTTATTTTGTTATTTACTTTAATTTGTTAATTAGTTTAGTTTCCTGTATTGTTTGAGACATTTGTTTAATTAGTTTAGTTTCCTGTATTGTTTGAGACATTTGTTTAATTAGTTTAGTTTCCTGTATTGATTGAGACATTTGTTTTATTAGTTTAGTTTCCTGTATTGATTGTGACATTTGTTTTATTAGTTTAGATTCCTATATTGATTGACACGTTTTTGAAGCCTAAAACTATATTGATTGGAGATTTATTAGTAAAAATAATTTTTTTTTCATAAAAAACATGATTTTTTACTTTCAGCAAAGAGGAGAATACAGATAATACTTTTGGGCTTCTAGCTCCTTTATATATTAATAAGGTAAAATATATACTTTTGGGCTTATAGCTCCTTTATATATTAATAAGATAAAATATATATACTTTTGGACTTCTTATCTCAGGAAAAAGTTTTGTTTTTATTTTTCTAAAACTTATCTTTTTTGTTTATTTTAGGAAAAGAATCTGTATCTATTCTCTCACCATATTGCGGGGAAAGTAAGTACACTTATATTTTTTGAGAAAATTTTACATAAGTCAAACAAAGCAGCTAAGTTTTTGCCACAACCTCAAATTTTCTAATCTTATATCTATACAATCTGTTGGTGTAAATCTGTGATTGTTATACTTAGACTATTTGATCTAACAGAATTCAAAGTTTAAAATATTAATGTTAGACAACATCGGGTTGCAAAGATATACGGTGAAAATGTAGAGTTTGTGACAAAAACTTATTTCCTTGTAAAAAGGAATTCTTTTTAAAGGGAGTGTTCGCAAAAAATGAAAGGGGATATAGGCTTACGGCGAAAAATAATCATTTTTGATCGCTACTAATCTTACTTCTACGCTAAGTTTTTCAGTATGAGTAGTTTTTAACATTTTTCTCCTTATAGACGCAACAGATAGAAGTAAAATTAGTAGTGATTAAAATGAGATTATTTTTCGCCGTAAGCCTGCATCCCCTTTCATTTTTCGCGAACACTCCCTTTAAGAGAAGAATTCCTTTTTACAAGGAAATAAGTTTTTGTCACAAACTCTTCATTTTCAACGTATATCTTTGCAACCCGATGTTGTCTAACATTAATATTTTAAACTTTGAATTCAGCTTTCAAATCACTATTAAAAGTTAATCGATATTTATGATGATGTGTTTTTCAGCTAAATTAGTCCGGGTTTTATCAAAATTGTCCAACTTTTATTTATTATTTAAAAGTCATCAAATAAAACGAATTAACCTTCTAAAATTAAATACTCATTTATCGTGAAGCAAATAATTTTATAGCTTGTAAAATATTTAGTGTTTATAGTTTATATTGTGTAGTATTTAACCTAGGATCGAGCCCTACAAAAATGACTTTTTAAACAGAGAGGTCAGATTTAATGAATAGTAAGAATTAAAGGATGTGGCTAGAATAACTACTTTTCTAGAACATTCTTGACGCCAAACATGTTGAAAAAAAAATCTAGAAAAAAATGGACCAAAGAAAAATTTCATGAAGAATCTGCATTTTACGCGTAATAAATGAATTACTATAAATTTCGTAAAAATATTAATAAATTCTACATTCTATACATAATCTGCACCTGGAGTCATCAGCATAATCAAAACATAAATATAAACACTGTTAAAGTAGTTCAACTTTCCATTGTTAGTTCAACTACTTCTTGCTGATCTTGAGATTGAGATCTTAAATGTTTTCAATCATTATCCATCTTCTTATTGAAGAGCTATTGAGAAGAATTTAATTTTTTGAATTTCTTATATTTTATAGAATGAATTCTCTTTTCTTATACTTGTGCGAAAAATCCAAACTGGAGAAACCATGAGGCCACAAAGTCCTACCAGTAATGTCGCATAAATTTGACCTTCTCCCTATGTCTAGTTTACAATGACATTAATAGAGTTTCCCCCCAAGGTTTGGCAGATGTCGGATAAGATGACGACAACTCCATTGAGAGGAATATTCTCCCGGACTCCGGCCTGTCCAGACTCAGAGGTTAGATATTTATTTACAAACATGTAAGTGTACTGCAGCTTCTGGGAGATATGCAAACATTCTATAGTTTTAGCAGCACTAAATCAATCTTCTATCTATAATATATACTTTAGTTGTATGTCTGTTTGTCCGTTTGTGTCCAATAAACGTCAACGGCTAAACCGATCGGGGCCAAATTTTTTTGTGGAACCTCGCGTGATATAAATGATCGAATTTTCAAAGATTTTCTCCTGACGAAATTCGATTTTTTTTGAAAATTTTGAAAATCCAAGACATTTATTTTGAAATCCGCAAATTTTTTTGTTTTGTTTTACTATGTTCTCAAAGAAAAAAACTGTTTGCAAATGAAATAGAAGATGGGCGCGAAGCGGCCTAAAAGTCTAGTTTATATATACTTTGCATGCTTTTTATATGGACCGTCAAAATTTCAACTGGAAAAAATGTCGACATTTTTGTTTGGAAATCCGCCAGTTTAAATTTTTAAAAATTTGCGACAGTTTTAGCCTAGTAATGTGTAAATTTTCCAGAATTCTAACTTTAGCGACATTATTTTTTCATCTTACAAAAACATGATTGTAAATTATAACAATATTAATTATAGTAAAAATAATAATAATATTTAGGATATAAGTTGGGAATGGTATAATCTAACCACCCCAACAGGACAACAGCTTTATGTGGAGGATTATCACATTAAGGAAATTATTCGAAATAATTAAAAATTTACTATTTTTTCGATAGAGTATCATCTCGTCGAATTCCAGAAAATGTAGCGCTTGATTTTTATAGTTAGGGCCGCAACCTAAATTGGCTTGTAAGCACCAAGGACTAGGGATGAATGAAATCGAATGCAAATTGCATGAATTTCCGGAAATTTTTGCTTATGAACCAGAAAAAAAAATTATTATTGTTATTTTAATTATTTAATTTTTAACCCTTGAACACTTCAACATCTTCAACACTTCAACGCTTGAAAACTTCAACACTTGAAAACTTCAACACTTGAAAACTTTAACACTTGAAAACTTCAACACTTCAACACTTGAAAACTTTTACGCTTGAAACCTTTAACACTTCAACACTTGAAAACTTCAAAGCTTGAAAACTTCAAAGTTGGAAAACTTCAAAACTGAAAAACTGAAAAACTCCATGACAAAAACATTTAAAAATCTAAACTTTTATTATTTCAGTAAAAAAAATTCTTCTATTAAAAATATCAAAGGATGCAATTATGCATTTGAATCTTTCATATCGCTCTTAAATGTCCTTGGTTTGTTGTGGTTGAGTGTCTTGGTATGTATGTATTGCTATATCAATTTTAAAGAGAGAAAACATGGTATAGCATTAATATATGTTTCGTTATCAACCCGAATAAAGGATTAGTAAATAAATATTTAAACATAACACTGCATAAACTGGTTTTAGGGCTCGGCCCGGATTAGACGAGATGATACTATATCTTTTTTTCTTTTTATATAATTTCTAAAATTAGAAATTTCTGTTTTCGTTTGAAGAAAATTAAGATTTGTCATTAAATTGTAATTATTTTTCTAGTTAAGATGACATTTTCTAGAAAAGCCCGTAGGATTAAAATATGAGAAATAACTATTTTTATTTGCAATCTTGAAATGCTACTATAGAAACAAGTTTTTCATTAAAAAAAAGTGACTTAACTGATTACGTAAAATTATCATCACATTTATAAATGCTTTAATATTCTAACAAAAACATAAATATCTCCAAAAAATGTAAATCAGAATTATCTGAATATTGAATAATTATTCTGCAGGTTAAATGTATTTCACATGGGCATGGAGCATGATTGAGCAAAACCAGGTAATAATTTAGCAAAATGAAATACTCAAGATTATTTTCTAGTCAGTGACTATTTCTTATTTTTAAGTGATTATTTGCGCATGAAGAATTGCGGAAATTATGAGAATTGAACACAAGCACGATAAACGATGATATTTTCAAAATTAATGATCATAAATAGGTTTATAGGGTACTGTAGTAAACGGGCATGTCCCCTTTTAAACAGAGGGACACTGGAAATTAAAATGTCCGGTTATTAAATAACATTTATTTTTTAAGATTTATTTACACTGGTAAACACAAATTTCAAAATTAAAATTACAATTTTGGGAAATATTTTATAATTTAGAAGTTCTAAGTTTGATGTTTATTTTATTTTATAGAAGTTTTTACAAGATTCTTATCATTCTTTGATTGATAATAAAAATCCTATGTTTTAGGTTTTCCAAGAAAGAAAATGCTTAACGAAAGAAAATTACAAACATATCACCATGAACATGATGAAACTAAAACAAAAATTTATTTCGGCATTAAAAAAGCTAGACAGGGATATGGAAACTAGGTCTGTTAAATGACATTAAAACATGGAGACTGGGTTTGCTTACATTTTGTATCAGGACAGCTCAGGAACTTGTATTTATTGTGAACGACAAGAAATATTTTTAAACAAAGTTATATTTCTCTGAGAACAGTGTTGAAAACTTTAGAATGATGGATATCAAGATTAATGCTTAAACTCCTGGTTTTACTAAACCCGAGATTACTTTAATATGCATTCGATATCCAAGGAAGAAGTATAAAATGTTAAGATGTACTCTTTAACTTTTATTAATCCCGATATCCATCATTCTAAAGTTTCCAGCTCAGAGCTGGGAACTTTAGAATGGTGGATATCAAGATTAACGCTTAATCCTCTCTTTTTGCTAATCTTGAAACTAACATAATCTGGCGATTATGTTAGTCTCGAGATTAAATATTTAGATCAACAAATTTGATTCTACGAAGGCCAGATTTGTTCGTTTTCTTGACTGGAAGGGCCTTCACTTAATTTCTCACCCATTTATTTATTAATACATTAGTTAAAATTGGTTTAAAAAAATCTCGAACCTATTATTGTATATTTTTCTTCGCTGATTAATTTGCAAAATGGCCGACGACAAATGCTTTATTAAATAGAAATTGCGGATTTCTATTATGGGATAGAATTTATTTTCAAGGCTGTCATTGGTCATTACAATTTACGAACTATATTTCTACACTCTTATTGGAGAAAACAATGTGCAGATATCCAAAGAGAGAGAAAAAGAGTTGATTAAGGACTAAAATGAAAAGTTTCCACAGTGGATATTCAGATTAAGTAGTTGGGATAAAAGGTTATCCATTCTAAAGTTCCCAGCTCTGAGCTGAAAACTTTAGAATGAGATATCCTTAATCATGATCGGTTAATCAATCTGGATATTAATAACAAGAGGAGAACAACCATTATTTAATCTGGAGATTAAGAAAAAGAGAGGATCAAGCATTGATCTCGATATCCACCATTCTAAATTTTTCAGCTCAGGATTAAGTATATCTCAGTGAATAATGAGATAAATGCTTGATCCTCTCTTTTTCTTAATATCGAGACTAATCTAATCTTTTGATAGTATCCTGAAAAGTGTATAGAATTCAACCAAGCAGAGTCGCGTATATGAAGCCTATAAATTTGAAATTTCACGCGCTATTTAAGATTATGTACAGAAACGGTAAGTATACTCTCTAAATTAAAAAAAAAACGGTTTTTGATTTTTCTCTACAATATCCAAGAAAGAACGGTTTAAGAAGAAAATCAAAAGTGTGTCCATTGGATACTCAGATTAAGTAATTGGGATTAAGGATATATCTCATTCTAAAATTTCAGCTCAGGTTACGGTGGCCGGATCAACCATTATTTAGGAAACGTTGATTGTTTACAATAAACCTAGTTCTATAGCTGTCCTATACGTCACAATAGTATGCAAAAACCCCATTCCCCTCTCCTTAAGGGCCAAATATTCATACATTAACAGTCTTTATAGTTCGGGAAAAGACAAGCATAAGGACCTCGTAAAACCTCAATGAAACAAAAAATGAAAGATCCCAGATTTTTCGGACAAATGTCCCCTTTTTCTATTTTGACGTCATGTTTTTCGGACAAATGTCCTCGTTTTTTTAAAGTTTACTGCATATTTTCGAACAAATGTCCTGACGCGGTCCTAATGAGAACCTTCCAAAATTAGCTAACGCTTTGTTATATTACATTCTGGAGTCTAAGACAGGCAAAAAAATTTAAGATTAACGTTTATTTTGCATTTATTCAAATTATGATCTTTTACATATATCTATTGCATATTTCACATTGTGAACAAATGTATCTTTTTGTGTATATTTTGCAAATAAAGAACAATTATAAAAAAGTTAAATGTTTTAATTCGTAACGAATATTGAATTACATGTTTTGAAGAAAAACTGTATGCTGGTGTGTTACTATGTAAAAAAAACATTGTTAAATATGTATTGAATAAAACTGCATGTTGGTTTTATCATATGCATGTATATATCATTAAACACTTTCTCAAAGTTTACTGTTCCTAAAAAGTTTAAAATGGATGGACAACCACCATACAATAAGCAGCGTTCTGCAATAATTTACAGTACACTAGTAGGGTTTAGTGGAGAGTAAAACAACCGACCAAGTGATCTTTAAACCGAAGAAGGTATATGGTACATAAAGGATTAAGTACAGACCAAACATTAAAATATCTAAACGTGGTGTTGTGTAGTGTATAGTCTGTAGTAAATGAATATGTNTAACACAGTTTTATATCAATTTCTCGAGACAGGAACATCAGATAAAACTTTCATGGGTCGCGATCAAGAGCAAAAGTGATTAGCTTTCAGCCTATACCCCCTTACATTTTTCCTTTACAGTCCCTTTAAGAGAATATTTAATGAGTTGAATTTACTCCTAAAAGGGTCATTTTGTCCTGTAGAGAAGATACCACTAAGATAAAGTATGAAAATATGCTAAATTTTTAATCAAAAACAAAGGTCGTAAATATCATCAGTTTGAAATTAGAAAGAAAAACAATAGCCAACTAGCTAAAACACAATTTTAGAAACCCAAACCACAAGAATTTGGGTTTTTGAAGGATTGATGTTCAAGCGCTTTACGTTCCAGATTTTTAAATTGAGTCCTTGCCACAAACTCTGATTTTCTAATCCATATATCTTTGCAACCAAATTTAGGAAATCTTAGATATTTCAAACTATGAATTCTGTAAGAACAAATAATCTATGTTTAAAATATCTAAGGTTTGCAACATCAGGTTCCAAAGATATAAGAATAACACCTGATAATGGTAGAAGGAGGGGCTCACATTCCCTGTTAAACGTTCATATTTCTCATACATATCATGATCTTCAACATTCTCATAAACAGTTCTACACACCTTCTCTTCTTTCAATTTCTCCAGCATTTTATTTTTTGGTGGATTTTTGTATTTTGATCTAGAAGTATTATTGATTTATTACAGTTCACGCACAACCGTAGTACATTTGAATATTAGAGCTGGGCCAACCTTTGCGTCCTAGTCTGGACTGTACCGCCAATTTAAAATTACTAAAGCGGCAGACCAGTGTGAGTTTAAGTTTACTAATGTTGATCATATTTTTTTCATAATCAGGGTCTAAAGAGACTAGTTTTGTGCCCCCCCCTCTCCATATATTTAAAGAGTTATATGTCAGAAAAGTACCGTTCAATGAATGTTTTCTATGAATTTATTGTTTTCATTTTTTTATAGATTCTCCAATTTGCAATTCTCTAATATTTTAATTTGTTACTTTTGGTTTAATATTTGTTTCGCTTATAAGGCAAGGCTTTTCAAGTTTTCAATATTTCTGAGAATCATGATTTTGATTTTGATCTTTAATTTTGATCAAATTATAATTTAAATGTTTTTAAACATGTATAATTTGTACTTATAAACTATGAACTATATAATTGAATCCATTTGTTCTATATATTGCACTGTAGTCTGTAGTATCCCCTTCGAGACTGTTAACTGTATGAAGTACTGAGGGAAAATTGATCAAACTTTTATTGATATTGGTTTGTTCTTCAGATCAAAATAACACAAATTTCGTAAGATCAATAAATTTTTTTCCGACAAAAATTTAGATACAGACGTGGATTGTGGTCGGTTTACCGTCTAAACATGCTTTGATATGTTGGAGTAAATATAATATAAGAAGGTGGTTTAAACAAATATTCATGATTTATAATTGCAGTTAAAAAATTTGCATGAGACATAAACAAAGCAACTAGAATAATAACATGAAAACTGAATAAAGACGATAAAAAGACGAATGGACAGAATTTATAAAGAATCTAATGTATTGTCCAGGTAGTGTGCTGCTGCCTAGAAGCCAGCTAACAGACCGGTCAGCCTAAACACACTCAACAATATGTCGGGTAAGCAGGGGATTCAGAAAACATAAAATTTGGTTCGGGGTATCGTGAAATATTGGGATTAACGTACAACATTTTTTTTTTGCGAGAAATTGAAATTTAGATTTTAAATGTTTACACAGTGGGAACTATAAAACTATGAAATAGGAAGACGACTGTTAAATTAAAGTATTTAATATTCGAATGAAAATTAAATATCAAGTGTATTTTTTAGTGTAAATCTAGAGTAGAGACCAATTTACTTAATATATTGATTGTCAAGCTATTTGTAAAACTACCAGTATAAAATTAAGATTGCTATAATGTGGTTTTCCTCACAGTTGTATCCAACCAAAGCTATTTCTTGAACGTAAAATTAAAGCTATTATGAGCTACGTGGTCTCAAAGTCTTGATCGTAATTCTGCATAAAATAAAGTTGGGTTTGCAGTTGAAGTGAAGTAGTGCCGTAATAAAACTATAATACGTTGAAGCAGTATTTTCATTTAGTCTAAAGTAAGTAAAGTAATTTCAAAATCATTCACAAAAATTGTTATGTGTTGTATTAAGAATTCCTTATGTTAAAAACGAAATTTGAATTTTTTAATCGATGTTCAGATATTTTGAATATATAGAAAAAGAATAAATAAATATGCAAGATTATGCACAAATAGATGACATTGATCATTACTCATTACATAACATATTTATCATTTCAGTTATTAGTACGTTATTATTATTATAATAATATCTAAAGTTCCAGGTAACCTAAAATACAGAAATTTAAAAATATTTTCTCGAAAATACTCAACAACAATGATCCTATGCCCCCCCCCCCTCTAAAAAAATGGGGAATATGCTCACTGGTTCAATGCTCAGGAACTTTTAGGAATAAAAATTGAATTGTAAATAAATTTTCTTCGAGGAGGGGTGGGGTTGGTGGGTATTAAATTAAATTTAATGACGTTCTGATTTTTCCATATTGTAGAAATTTATATTTTTATTATTCTTTACCTGTTGTAAATGCTTCTTAGGATATCCTTTAACGACTTTTTTCTCTCAGGGACCCTGCAAAAGATGTTTATAAAGATTAGAGACCAAAATAATAAAAAATTTCAAAATAATTTAAGTTTGTTATAAAATCTAACCGTTACCTCGCTGAGTCCACTTTTCTGCTTGTCAGACCTTTTGCTGTTTGTATATGCTAAAAACAATATTTTCTGCAACTATATTAAAGGGACTGTAAAGGAAAAATGAAAGGGGGTATAGGCTGAAAGCTAATCAGTTTAGTTCTCGATCGCGACCCATGAAAGTTATATCTGATGTTCCTATCTCGAGAAACTGATTTACAACTTTGTCAAATTTATACGAAAATTAATATATATACAATTTTGTATAAAAGTAGTGGGTTTAAAAAGATCAAATTCAGCAAATATGCAACCAATCTGAAAACGATGATATCCCAGAGAAAGCTAATTGTAACTTA